AGAAAAGGTCTAAAAGAGCAGGGGAATTGGGAGGGGTAGGGGAAGGGAAAAAAGGGAAAGGAAAAAATATGAGAAGAGGAAAAAAATGGAAACAAGCTCTTTGCAAATAGGGAAGGGACGGCAAGGGAAGGGGAAAAAAATAAGAACCAAGAGACTCATGTAATGATACAAGATCCCAATGATGAATGTAACTGTATTTTATAACTAAAATGTACCAATAAACTTAATGGGAGGAAAAAAATAAAAATAAAAAATAAAAAAAATAAAATGTTCTAAAAAAGATGAGTGTCTATCCCAGCATTGAAGGAGGCTGAAGCAGGAGGATTGCACATTCAAATCCTCCTGGGCAATTTAGTGAGACCCTGTCTCAAAATAAAAAGGGCTGGGGACATAGCTCAGTGGTAGAGCATCTCTGAGCTTGATCCCCAGTATCTTAAAAAAAAAAAAAAGAAGTCTGTTTTTAAGCCCGTGGTTTGTTAATTTGTAGACTATGAATGCATTGAACTATATATTACTGCACAGGAGATACCCTTTGTTGCCTTGATGTTTCTCTGTAAAGAAACCCTTCTGGGGGCTGGGGATTTAGCTCAGTGGTTTTGCTGCCTGCTGCACAAGTGCAAGGACCCAAGTTCGATCCCCAGTACCAAAAAAAAAAAGAAACCCTTCTGGGGTGACTCACTTTCCGGTCCCCCTTCTGTCTCTCTTAGGTAGAAGCTTTCTTTCTCTCAATAAACTCTTCCTACTCTTAAAAAAAAAAAAAGAAAGAAACCCTTCTATTTTCATTTGCTTTTCCCACTTCCTTTCAAATGGCTTGCCAAGTCCTAAGGTGATGTCCTTATTAGTCCTATTTCAGTTGTTAATTGGGTGTGAAAGGAACTGCTCTTAACTTTTCCTTTTTTTTTTGAGACAAGGTCTCACTGTGTGGTGTAGGCTGCCCTTGAACTCACTATGTAGCACAAGCTAGCCTCAAACTCACAGCAGTCTTCCTGCCTCAGCCTACCAATTGCTGAGATTACAGGCATGCGCCACCACACCCAGCTACCTCCTTTGGCTTTGCTTCCCATTATGAGCCAGGGCCTTGAACATGCTAGACAAGCACTCTATCTCTGAGTTGCATCCCCAGCCTGTGGCTCAAACTTACTACCCTTCTACCTCAGCCTCCTAAGTAGCTAGAGATACAGCATGCCCCACTGCTGGGAGCAGTCTTAAAACACAAAGCCTTAGCATCTGGGAAGTGTAACATACTTAGCCTGCATGAGGCCTTGGATTTAGGCTTCTGCACCAAAAAGTAAAAGTAATAATCTGTGCCAGTGTACCTGAGCTCCAGGTATCTATGGTATTTTATGTTATTTGTTTGTACACTGTAAAATAATATATCAAAGGAACAGATACATAGACTTACAAACATGATGGTAAGCATGATTACTAAGGAAATAAGAGATTAGAATAAGGTGAGATGAATCTTTTTTATGACTCTCTCAAGGACTGGCTATGCCCTGTAACATGCTCCTTATTTTTTTAGAATGCTGATCCTAAATCATCCCTCAAAGGTGTAAGCAACCAGCTTGGAGAAGGGCCCAGTGATGGGCTGCCACTCTCAAGTAGCCTTCAGTTCCTTGAAGATGAACTTGAGTCTTCCCCACTTCCTGATCTCAGCGAGGACCAACCTTTTGACATTCTTCAGAAATCCTTGCAAGAGGCAAACATCACTGAACAGACACTGGCAGAAGAGGCGTACTTGGATGCCAGTATAGGCTCCAGTCAACAGTTTGCACAACCGCAGCTTCATCCTTCTTCATCAGCATCCTTTACTCAGGCTTCTAATGTTTCCAGTTACTCAGGTCAGACGCTACAGCCGATAGGGGTGACACACGTGCCCGTGGGAGCATCGTTCGCGAGCAGCACGGTGGGTGTGCAGCATGGCTTTATGCAACACGTGGGCATCAGTGTTCCCAGCCAGCATTTGTCTAACAGCAGTCAGATTAGTGGTTCTGGTCAAATACAGTTAATCGGGTCATTTGGTAATCAGCCTTCCATGATGACTATTAATAACCTCGATGGGTCACAGATCATATTAAAGGGCAGCGGGCAGCAAGCCCCGTCAAGTGTGAGTGGAGGGCTGCTGGTCCACAGACAGACTCCGAATGGCAACTCCCTCTTTGGGAACTCCAGTTCCAGCCCCGTAGCACAGCCTGTCACTGTTCCATTTAACAGCACAAATTTTCAAACGTCTTTACCTGTGCATAACATCATCATACAAAGGGGTCTCGCACCAAATTCAAATAAAGTCCCGATTAATATCCAACCAAAGCCTATCCAGACAGGTCAGCAGAACACATACAATGTGAACAACTTGGGAATCCAGCAGCACCACGTGCAGCAAGGGATTTCTTTTGCCTCTGCGAGCTCGCCCCAGGGCTCTGTCGTCGGCCCACACATGTCGGTGAACATCGTCAACCACCAGAACACACGGAAGCCCATCACCTCGCAGGCCGTGAGCAGCGCCGGGGGCAGTATCGTCATCCACTCCCCCATGGGCCAGCCTCACACACCCCAGAGTCAATTCCTCATCCCCACCAGCCTTGCCGTCACCTCCAGCTCGGTCCACCATGTCCAGACCATCAACGGGCAGCTTCTGCAGACTCAGCCCTCCCAGCTCCTTCCCAGCCAGGTGGCCTCAGAGCACATCATGCTGAACAGGAACTCCTCCAGCATGCTCAGGGCCAGCCAGCCGTATTCCGGACCCATGCTGAACAGCCAGAATGCTGCCGCCGTCCAATTAGTGTCCGGCCAGACCTTTGCCACCTCCGGCAGTCCTGTGATTGTCAACCACGCCTCCCCTCAGATCGTAGGTGGACAGATGCCCTTACAGCAGGCATCTCCAACCATGTTGCACCTGTCACCTGGGCAGAGCAGCGTTTCCCAAGGAAGGCCTGGCTTTACCGCCATGCCCTCAGTGACCAGCATGGCAGGACCCAGTCGGTTCCCAGCTGCCAGCTCAGCCAGCACTGCCCATCCTAGTCTTGGGCCTACATGTCAGTCTGGGGCCTCAGGAGCAAACTTTACTGGAGATCAGCTGGCCCAGCCCAACAGGACTCCGGCACCAGTCAGTGCATCTCATCGTCTTCCAGTTCCTTCTTCCAAATCGACCAGCGCCTTCAGTAATGCGCCTGGCACAGGAGCCCAGCAACAGTTCTTCTGCCAGGTAAGGCCCTCGGGCAGATGATATTCCAACAGATTACAGATGAAAAAATGAAATGTGTATTTACGTGAATACGATTTTCATCTCCTGATGTGTTAGCTTAAAATCTTCAGTCTATGATGGATTACCCTTTTTTTCTTAACTGAAATCTTTACCCAGCTAGGCATGGTGGCACATGGCTATAATCCCAGCACTTGAAAGGCTGAGGCAGTACAATCACTTTGAGTTCAAGGCCAGCCTGGACTACATAGTGAGACCCTGTCTCAAAAACCAAAGTAAATTAATAAATTGTTTTACCCACACAGCACTGTGGTTAGAGTACAGACTTTGGATCAGCCTTGGGTTTGACGCTGGGCTTTCTGATGTGAAGTCCATGGACCAGCCTCTCTAGGCTTCATTTTGCTCAGCAGTGAGAAGGAATGATCACATTACCAGCTGTGGGGCTGTGATCCCAGAGCCTTAGCAAGATCTCTTACCATGAGCCCACATAACACTTGATGAAATGTACTAAGGCACTAAGGAGGAAGATGACTTCAGATTACACTTAAACACTACAGCAGGCCAGTAGGCCATGTGCCTGGCCTGCTGAGAATGCAGTGGCTGCCTCCTCAGTACCAAATGGAGTACTTCAGGGACCTGGTGGGACTCAACAGTGGGCCTGCAGAGGTGCACAGGCCCAATCATTGGGGCACATTCCTGAGCCTGCTCCTGTGCAGGCAATCTGATTGTTTCTGAACAGGAACTAGTGTCAGGTCATTACTTTCAGGCCCTCCCTCACTTTGGCTGACCTTTGACTCCTCTGCTCTTGATTCCCCCATTCTGAGCATGCTCAGTGGTTCAGGAGGGCCCATTCTACCCCATGCCTGCCCTCCTCCATCCTCCTTGCCATTGCTTAACTCCTCCACAGTCAGGAGTTCAAGAACTTCTCTGTTTCTGTGCATCAATATGTTTCACTATCAGTCTCTTAAATACGTGTACACCAATCTTTAAAAAGTGGTATAGGGCCGGGGATTTAGCTCAGTGGTTTCGGCTGCCTGCTGCGCAAGCTCAAGGACCAGAGTTCGATCCCCGGTACCAAAAAAACAAACAAACAAACAAAACGGTGGTATAGCTTTGCCTTAATAATTCCACTAAGAATCCTAAGGAAACAAAAATTATTTATGGTCAGGGTTGTTCAGTGTATTAGTTTTGGTATCAAAGGTGTGTGAGTGTGGATTGTATGTGTGTGTATCTGAAATAATATCAAACTACAGAAAAGTTAAAATTGCAAGAACTGTGCAAAGAAGTCGCATATGCTCTTCACCACGATTTCCTAAACATTTACTTTTTACCACATTGGTTTTTCCTCTTTGCCCCTCTTTAGGAGATGTATTCCTTCAGGTGGACAGCAGTATTTAGCATTTACTCCTCCCTGCCCCCTGTGTACACACACACACACACACAATTTGCAGAGTAAATTACCAGCCTGATGCTTCTCGACCCTAGATAACTTCAGACTTCAGTGTATATTTCCTAAAAACAGTGACATTTCCTTATGTAACTATAGAATAATTATCAAACTCAGTAAATAAGCATTCCTACAATAAATTAATCTACAGTCCGCCTGCCCCGCAAGCGCAAGGACGAGAGTTTAATCCCTGGTACATAAAAAAAAACCAACACAAAAAACAAAATAAAATAATCTACAGACCTTACTCAGACTTAGTAGTTCTTCCAATAATGTCTCTAAGAGCAAAAGAGGAAAAAGACTGTCTTGATGTCTGTGGTCCAGGGTGCAGCACAGATCCCGGCATCCTGTCTCGTTTCCCCAACCTCTTGCCTTTAAATCTCCAATGCATCTTCTGTCTTTGGCTTTTGTGATCCTGGTGTTTTCCGTATGTATAAACCTGTTACTTTGTACTGCACTGGGGTTTCTCTGATGTTTCCTCCTGATTAATTTCAGGATGTGCATTTTTGGCAGTATTGTCACAGAGGTGTTGTGTCCTTAAGACTCATGATACAGATTTATCCCTTTAATGGTGAGATTAACTTTTTTTTATAAGCATTTATTTTTTTTAATTTTTTTGGTACTGGGGATTGAACTCGGGTCCTTGCACTTGCGCAGCAGGCGGTGAAACCGCTGAGCTAAATCATCCCTGGCCCCTATAAGCATTTATTGTTATCAGCTGTTGACACTGCTTTTTTTTTTTTTTTTTGGTACCGGGAATCAAGCTCAGGTCCTTGTGCTTGTCAGACAGGCATAGCAACACTGAGCTACGTTCCCTGCCTGACATTAACTTTGAACTCTTGCTCGAGACAGTGTCTGCCAGGTCTCGCCACTGTTTTCCTTTTTGTCGTTAGTGAGAATCTTCTGGAAAGTACTTTGAGACTAAATAGCAGATTTTTTTTTATCAAACTTGTACACCCTAATTTTTTGTTTTGTTGTTGTTTTGTTTTGTTTTGTTTTTTGGTGCTGGGGATTGAACTCGGATCCTTGCGCTTGCGCAGCAGGCGGTGAAACCACTGAGCTAAATCCTGGCCCCTTGTACACTCTAATTTAAACTTGCATTGGTGATTCCAGACTGAATTCTTCCCTTCCTCTCCCTCCCTTCCTCCCTTCCTTCTTTTTCTCCTTCCCTCCTTTTTCTATTTTTATTTACTAGGGATTGAGCCCAGGACATCATACGTGCTGGGCAACTCCTCTACCACTGAGCTACATGCTCAGCACTGCATCATTTGAAAAATGATGGAGCTCTTGCTGTGAAGGTCTCCAGATAGGAACTTTCTCATTCCATCACTGCTTTACCCTTCTTGTGGCATCTACAAGAAGCTTTTTCATCTCTTCCTACACTTGATCTTAGCCAAAAGGCCTAGAAGCCTTCCTTCTCTTCCTTTTACATATTTGTTTGTTTGTATGGGTGTGTACTGCAGATTCTTATTTTATTCAATGAGTTATAAACTGTTGCACTCATTTGAGGCTCACATTACCTAAGATTGCCCAGCAGCACCCCTCCAATTTGGCTGCTGGTCCTTTGGATGAGTTCTGTCATACTCTGAGCACTGCCTTTAATTTCTAGCAAAACAAGATGTTCTGTGTTAATCTTTTAGTTCCCCTGTTCCTACCCCAGAATCAACAGTTTCTTTTAGGAGATTTATTCCTTCCAGTGAACACTAGTATTTGGAGACCAACATCCAAGCACTAAGTACAATCACTGCTGCTGGGCCGTCTCTGCTGGGAAGCATGGATGTGTGTATGAGCCCAACATCCCTAGCTGTTCAAGTACCTGTCCGTCTATGTACGAGCTTGGAGTTCACACTGATGCTTCCAGTTCTAACCCACAACCACCAGATTCATCTAAGCTCCCTCTTTTACACACTTGCAGCTCCCTTTCTAACAGCGAGAAAGCTAGCTCCACAATACATTTACTCACTTATTCATTCATTTGCTCAATTGCAGAATTTTCAAAAAGTACTTTTAGAATTACTAATCCATGTTTTTCACCACTGTGAAAAACAAAGCTACTAATTAGACTTCATTATCAGCATGAAGTGCTGTCTTTACCCAAGGGTTTTGGTTAATTTACTGTTATTCAGAAGTGATTTAGCTTTGTTCTCTTTTCTTCCTCCCTTGGCATGATTTTGCAAGTCATCTGAAGGATAGTTCCATTTCTACTTTTTTCTCACTTTAGGATTCTTTCTCACCTTCCTTGTTGATGTTTTTCTATTCAATTCCTTTTGAATACATGAGTCATTGGTGCTGAGGCTGCTGGGAAACTTGATAACCTGGCCTTGGTCGTGCTCTTCCCTGTCTGTGAGCCTCCCCTCCTCCTGCCCACTCTACCACACCTTTCCCTGCTGCTTCTCCCCTACCCCTGATTCACTACTCTCTTGAGTTTCTAGAGTTCTAGTTTATTTTTCCTGTGTTTGTTTTTGCAGAGAAGCAGATACATGCAGCTTTTCTTTTCTTTATTATGTATCTGTGTGTGGTGCTGGGGAATGAACCCAGGACCTATGCATTAAGGTTCATCCTCAGGCCCTTTTTATTTTATTTATTTGTTTGTTTGTTTGTTTGTTTGTTTTGAGATGGGGTCTCACTAAGTCACTAAGTTGCCCAATCTGGGCTCAAATTTGTGATCCTCCTGCCTCAGCCTCATGGCTGGCAATGCATCTTTAAATTTTCTCCCTCCTTCCCTCCCTTTCTCTCTTTTTTTTGAGACAGGGTCTCATTATGCAAGTCAGGCTGGCATTGAACTCACAGAAAACCTCCTGCCTCAGCCTCCCAAGTGCTGGGATTACAGACATGCACCAGTACAGCTGGCTTCCTTTCTTTCTCAGAAATGAAGTATACTGTAGATATCCTTCCTTCCTTGACTTTGGTTGCAAAAAGTTTAAGTCCCAAATTCCAATGATAGGGGAATGACTGGGTAGAAGTATTAACTACCATATATGTAGCCATTTAACATGTTTCCAAAATAATTTTTAATTTAGGGACAGGCTTAAAAAGTAATATTTGAGGGGCCAGGGATTTAGCTCAGTGGTTCCACCGCCTACCTGGCAAGTGCAAGGTCCTAAGTTCGATCTCCAGTACCAAAAAAAGAAAGAAAGAAGGGCTGAGGATGTAGCTCAGTGGTGCTGTGCCTGGCTGGCAAGCACAAGACCCTGAGTTCGATTCCTGATACTGGAAAAAAAAAGAAAAAGTACGTTTCAGTGAAAAATACACATGCAAATGCAAAACATTTAATAAATAAACGGCTTATTTACACTTTTAGAAGAATGATGGAGAGAGACAGTATGAGTTAGAAAACTAGTTGCTTACAGCAGCCAGAAACTTGCTCAGGAGGAAGTGTCCAGGTGGCAGCAGCAGTGTGGGGTGGATCCATTCCAGGACCCTCTATGGTACAGAGAGCCATCTGCTGTAATGAGTGTCCCCTCCCCGGGCTGTCCACAGCTGCCTGGGCTGTGACTCAAGTCCCCTACCACCCTTTAGATGGGGAACACTTTCTGCCCTGTGGAAATGTGGAAGA